AAAGTTTGTGAATGCTTGTACAGTAGCAGCAAACAAAATCATCAGTAAGGCAAGGATCCACGGATGCGCCATCGCTCTGATATACAAAAAATAAACTCGCCACGGAACAGCTCCCTGTGCGCGATCTTCTTCAACATACGGTAACTCCTCTTCCTAAAACGAGATAACGGAAGTGCATGGTTTATTGAAATTTGATTAGAAACGTAAACGGATTTCTCTTTGAATGATTTCAGGATTGCTAATCTTATGGTACTTACTGGAGGACAGCAATCACATCTGTCCCAATATCGAAAAAAAGGTATTCTAGTCAGAAAAGTATCCATCGTAGCCTAACAACCGCAAAACTTCGGGGCAGGGTGCGCACTTTGAACATCCTGAAATGTTTAAAGCCTTGCCAAATGCTCCTGTCGAAAGAAGTGCTAGTAAAAAAAAATGAGTGTCAGGAACGCCAGCAGACTGACTAGCGCGGCTACGCATAAATAATGCTCAGAGCAATCAATACTGGAACTGGAAAACTTGATGGCTGCAAAGACGGAGAACCACATCATGGACCAACAGCTGCTCCAAGTACTTGAAGTATCGAAATTAGAGCCAAGTATTTTTTAGGCCCACGGGTGCCAATTAAAAACTGATTTTTCTCGAACATAAAAACGTAAAAGAACGAGGCAGTTGCATTTTGGTACTTGAATTTCATATCATGTTTTACATTCTTAATGTTTGATGTTAAAAAAAATCAAAAAAAAAATACTAATAAAAGTTCTGGCAGCGTACAAAGTGACCTATACGACAGAGAAAGAATAATTCCTAATTACCTGTTTTCCTGCGATTGGTGAATAACTTCCAGCAGATATTGAAGGACTTGGTAAGCTTAGGCGAGAATGCGTCAAATCATTCAAAGAATCATCTGAAAAAGGCTGATTAAATATACGATAACTTATTTTCTGATATTTCAACTTTACGATTAACTATAGCACAATTATAAGTAAGCAAATACAGTTATAGCGCAACTATATCTATGCGATTTTATCAAAAAATGAGGATATCTGACTTCTTAATCACTTTATCCTTTCATTATTCAATACTCTCTACTACCTTAAGTGACCAGTAGCACTATGCGTAAGCAGCTGCGTTTTTTTCTTCCCTCTTTTCCAGATCTCACAATTAGCTCCCCCATTAACGATCTTTGCCGTTTCACTATTGTTAATACCTATCCAAGCTTCATTAGCCCAGAATTTGGAGTTACTGATCAGCTAAATAATTTCGCATGACTGAACAAAACTCAGAAAATAGTACTTTTTGAATACACGTTATCGGTTTCCTCCGAAATCGAGAATTTTATCGAACGTACGTTTGCACCACCTTCAGATTCTGTTCGTTGCATATTGTACGACTTTTCGGTCTCCTACAATAACAACATAATTTTCTTCACAATCCTCATTTTCATTCCACTCATAGCTGTGCGGTAAACTGTAGCACATAAAGTTGAGCACACATTGTCTCTCCTATCATTTTTTTCTCGTTACTAGTATATTTGATAACTTCCTCATGCCTTTCTGTTTTAGGCCTTTCTTACACAACTAATTTTATATAACCATTCAAATGGATCCTTTCATTACACTGACTACCTTGCCTTTGTACTTTTCGTTGACGATATACTTACTCTCCGAAATTTCGATGACAAATTGTAGCTAAAATAAGAAACGCACCTGAATGATTTCGTTGTAAATTTGCGTTTGTTTGAGCTCCTCCAAGTCTCCTGAAGCAACGATTTCACCTCCACGCATAAGTATTACCAAATCGGCACTTTGGAGATGTTGTACCTGGTGTGTTACCAGTATGGTCGCTTTCGATCTCAGGTGTTTCCTTATACATCTGCAAGTATCGTTACCGCAACTAAAAATCTCCCATAAACTTCACATTTGTTACTTTACCTAACATGTGATACGAAATTAGAAAAAAGACCAAG